GACAGACACGTGGACAGAATGGAGAGAACGAGGCAGTGAGAGAAAGCAACAAGTTTAGTGAGGGAGACTGATAATGAGAAAGAGGGTCAAGGAGAGAGAGAGAGGTGGGAAAACAACAGGAGGTAATAAAACATGAGTGAGACGGGGAGAGCGATTGAAACATAAGAATAAACATTTATGGGGCATATAGAATATATGCATATAGAATACAAGGTGTAAGTGAGAGTGGCAGAGTGGAACAGACAGTGCATTGAGGATTGTCAGATTAGCCATGAATTACTGAATGATGGAGCAGTCTTGATGGGCTGAATGGCCTGCTTCTGTTCCTACACCATATGGTGCACTGGAATGATTATTGGCTTTGGCTATCAAGACCTGTATCAGTGGTGAGAGAGTGAGTAACACAAGGGGGATAGATGAGGCCTAGAGGTGAGAGAGAATGATGGTCTGGGAGAAGGAAGTCTCTGTCACTCTCTTCATCAGTCAATGTTTATCACCACTTTCTTCCTGACTCTTCCACATTTTTCTCTTCCCCTCCCTCTCTGCCACTCGTTCTCAGTGCTTCAACCTCATTTGGTCCATGCACAATCCCTCGTGCCCTTCCCTTCAGATAAACTCCCAGCGGTTTGGAAAACGAGAGGATGGAGCTATTGAGTTGCAATCAGTGTGAGAGCTGGGGGTGGGAGCACAGATGGACAGGGGCATCAGTCCTGTAGGGACAAGCTGAGGGCAGCTATCGGGGCGGACACAGCTAGGCTCAGGTCTCACTGCAGGCTGAGTCCCTTTTCCAACTCAGGCTCTGAGAACCTCACAAGTGGGATGTCAACTGAGGGTAGAACAACGCTGTATAAAAATCCTGATCCATGTGTATTTGATGTGGGACAGTGTAGAGGGAGCTTTATCAAACCCCGTGCTGTTCCTGTCCTGGGAGTGGGACAGTGTAGAGGGAGCTTTACTCTGTATCTAACCTGTGCTGTCCATGTCCCGGGAGTGTTTGATGGGGGGACAGCGTAGAGAGAGCTTTACTCTGTATCTAACCCCGTGCTGTCCCTGTCCTGGGGAGTGTTTGATGGGGGACAGTGTAGAGAGAGCTTTACTCTGTATCTAACCCCATGCTGTCCCTGTCCTGGGGAGTGTTTGATGGGGGACAGTGTAGAGAGAGCTTTACTCTGTATGTAACCCCGTGCTGTCCCTGTCCTGGGGAGTGTTTGATGGGGGGACAGTGTAGAGGGAGCTTCACTCTGTATCTAACCCCGTGCTGTCCCTGTCCTGGGAAGTGTTTGATGGGGGGACAGTGTAGAGGGAGCTTTACTCTGTATCTAACCCCATGCTGTCCCTGTCCTGGGAAGTGTTTGATGGGGGGGACAGTGTAGAGGGAGCTTTACTCTGTATCTAACCCCGTGCTGTCCCTGTCCTGGCAAGTGTTTGATGGGGGGGACAGTGTAGAGGGAGCTTTACTCTGTATCTAACCCAGCGCTATCCCTATCCTGGGAGTGTTTGATGAGGATTGGGATTGGACTGGAGAACCGAGGCAGGCAGAAACAAGGACAAAAACCAACAACAGAATGTGAGTGTTCAGGGAAGTGGTAGGCCGAGAATGCTAGGGTAAGAATGAAACAACGCACAATAAAAAGCGTGGAACAGAGAAGATTAAAAGACATTTGCAATAAAGTGAATGATTGCGTGGCACAAATTGATGTAAATATGTACGATAGAATTCAGGGTTACAGAGACCAGGGAATGGGAACTGAGTGTCCGGGGGGATGTTCGGTGCTTAGGAGGGACTTAAAGGAAGAAGAGGCCATGCAGGAGCATTGTTGCTTAAAGAAGCCAATATTACAATCACGATTGAGGAAATTAGCTCTGGGGAAGTGGAAACTGTACACTTGAGGGACAGGAAGTGACAAGTAGGGGTTGTATAAAGATCCCCAGAATGCAGCAACAATATCAGATCAGACAGGATGGCTCAGTGTTTAGCACTGTGCCTCACAGCACCAGGGACCTGGGTTCGATTCCTTTTAACATTTACAGACAGACAACAGGTGGGAGACCGCAGGGCTCAGTGCTTGGACCCCAGCTAGTCACAACATATATTAATGATTCAGACGAGGGAACTAACTGTAATGTCTCCAAGTTTGGAGAGGACACAAAGCTGGGTGAGCTACGAGGAAGTTGCAGAGATGTTTTGCTGTGATTTAGACGGTGGGGAAAGTGCACGGCAGACACAGTGTAACGTGGATCAGTGTGAGATTATTCACTTGGGTGGCAAAAAAACGGGGAAAGCAGATTATTATCTGAATGGCAATTGGGAACGGGTGAGGTGCGAGGAGGCTTGGGAATCCCGCACACCAGTTGCTGAAGGTAACCATTGGAGGGGCAGCAAGCAGTGAAGGGGACACTGGCCTTCATAGCGAGAGGGTTTGGGCTACAGGAGCTGGGATGTACAGGGGCCTTGGTGAGACCACCCCTGGAGCTTTGTGTGCTGTTTGGGGTCTCCTTATCGGAGGGAGGATGTTCTGGCGATGGAGGGAGAGCAGCGAAGGTTTCCCAGACAGATTCCTGGGATGACAGGACTGATGTATGAAGAGAGACTGGATCAGTCAGGACTATATTCTCTGGGGTTTAGAAGAAAGAGGGAGGGATGTCCTAGAAATCTATAAATTCTAAACAGGGTAAACACAGGAAGGCTGTTCCCGCTGATGAGGGAGTCCAGTACCAGGTCACAGTCTAAGGATTATAGGGTGGGCCATTTCATACTGAGAGATGGGGAGAGATGTCTTCACCCAGAGAACGGGGGGGCCTGTAGGATTCTCTGCCACAGAAAGCGGTTGAGGCCAAAACATTGAATGTTTTCAGGAAGGAGTTTGATATAGTTCTTAAGTGTAAAGAGATGAAAGGGTGTCAGGCAAAAGCAGGAACAGGGGACTAAGTGAGGGATGATCAGATTGGAGGGAGAAGCAGACTTGAAGGGATGACTGGCCTAATTCTATTGTCTTTGACAGTCTAAAGCAAACTTTACTCTGTATCTAACCCCGTGCTGTCCCTGTCCTGGGGACTGTTTGATGGGGGACAGTGCAGAGGGAGCTTTACTCTGTATCTAACCCTGTGCTGTCCCTGTCCTGGGGAGTGTTTGATGGGGGACAGTATAGAGGGAGCTTTGCTCTGTATCTAACCCCGTGCTGTCCCTGTCCTGGGAATATTTGATGAGGGGGGCAGTGTAGAGGGAGCTTTACTCTGTATCTAACCCCGTGCTGTCCCTGTCCTGGGAATATTTGATGAGGGGGACAGTGTAGAGGGAGCTTTACTCTGTATCTGTGAGTGTTTGAAGGGGGTTGGGGTAGCGGGGGGGTGTAAGTTGAAACGTGACCCACCTTTGTCCACACTGAAGTCAGCCACAGCGGTCGTTCTCAGTTCCATCTCAGCTTGCCAGTGGGTCACTGCGCAAACAGCTGTGAGTTCGTCCTGTGTGTCAGGCACATACACAGTCACTGGCAGATGCAGGGGGTCAGTCAGGGACTATGACCGCACAGACCCCCCCAGGACCAGTCACAGTGGGGGTGGGGGGGTGGGGGGAGGGGTCAGCCTTTGTGATGTCAGCATCGCCTCGGACCAATCAGCCATTGTGACCCTCCTGACCCACCTCTCCCGTCTGGGTGGGTCCATGTGTCCCCCTGGGTGACGGGTACAGTGTAGAGGGAGCTTTACTCTGTGTCTAACCCCGTGCTGTCCCTGTCCTGGGAGTGTTTGAGGGGGGGCACAGTGTAGAGAAACCTTTACTCTGTATCTAACCCCGTGCTGTCCCTGTCCTGGGAGTGTTTG